CGGCCACAGTGATGGCTCCTCCCGCCCCCTTCTCGGCTGCTGTTTTATGTCATTAGAGGTATTATTAGGATCGTTAATGGGGGATTTTGTCACTTGCCCGCTGGATTTCGGGCGGCTCGTCAACACTTTTTTTTTGGCCAAGTGTCAAAAAGTGTCTGTTTGGTGGTTTTGTTTGGTTTCGGCATTTGATTTTCACACGTTCGTTTAAATAGGTTTGCCAATTTGCTATTTGATTACGTTTATGGTCATATGTCACACAGGGGAATAAACACTGACATTTTATGATCTCGCAACTCTGCATTCGGGAAAGCGAATATAAATGGTGATGTGCACTTTTTGGGCGCCATGTGTGTTTTGGGGTCAATGGCTCGGATTGCGATTCGATGTGGGTTAAATTCGATGTCATTCCGAAACTTGGAATATGGGATATCGCAAAATTTGACACTCAACATAATACAAAATTCAAACAGTTTTTGATTTTTTTCACAATTTGGGGTGTTTGTAAAGTAAAATCCTACCTCAAAGCTTTAATTGCGAGTAAAAATAACTTGATGAGATTAAGAAACTACTTTGTGGCATATTCCACCATTTTAATATTTAGTTTGCCGACGGTGTGTTCTGATGAGAAACGTTTCTATTCAATAAGTTGATTGGTTAATAGTCATATTTTTTTGTGGACAAGAATTATATTTTATTTGGCATCCATATAAGGTGAACCAAATTGTGTTTTAGCCAGACGTTAGATAGTGGAAGTTATTAAAAAAGTTCGACCATCTCAAAAATCGGTCATTCAAATCAGAAAGATCCACGGGGGAATATATTCCAAATTTTTGATTTATACCTTATTTTAAATCCCCCCACAATTAAATACTGAATCCACCACTGATATTACGTTTCGAATTTTTAAAAGGTATTGATATCATCAATGATCAATGATAATTTTAAAAATTTCAATATACTCCTTTAAAAAACTATAAATGTTCATAGACAGTAGAATTTATCTTGCATACTTTTTCAAGAAGACTAATAGTCGACCTCCTTTTATTTTCTTAGTTAAACATTTTCATTTTCATATTTGAAATTCAGTTCTTTCTAAATATTTTATTTTTGTACCCTTATAATTTTACGGTTATTCGATCTCTTGTTTCTTTTAAGTTCACAAGTTCTAATCAAAGGATTAACGTTGAGATAAACTTACAAATTTGGAAAAATTCTCCGCGCCGTAAATCGGCGTTCTCGATATAATCCAGTGGGAAACCTGCGCGTAACGACGTGTTCTTTTTGATTTAAGTTTAGTTTGGAATACGGCCAAATCACGCACTTTTATAACACTTGGGTTCACTTAACAAGGGGTCACGTCGCGAATCACTATGCTCGAAATAGATCAGATGAAAGGAGGAAGATACAGCCGCGAACCTCGTGCCTTTATTTTTCAGGTTTCTGAAGTTTTTCGATTCGAATCGAGTTCCGAGTTGTGCGCTGCCGCCGATCGTGTGTTTGCGTTGCCACCGTTCCCGAGCTAATGATCAACGGTCGGTGCTAATTTTTTCAACCATCACAAGCCGCGCTTTCGGGGCCTCTATTTCTCATTTCTCGTCTTTGGCCGACATCGTTGCTGTTTTGGCCCGTGATGGCCGGCTAGCGCAACTCGTTCCCATTCCCGCCCATATGGCCGTCCCGTTCTGGCCCGATCTGTGATCGGTTAGCGCTCGGTTAGGCCACACCCTCTAACAGGTAAGACCGCGGCGGTATCTCCCCTCTCGCTCGCTCCGCCGGCGGGTCAGTCTGCGGCCATCGCTTGGGAACCGGCCACAGGTAGGGAGCCTCGCTCTGGTCGGGTCCCTCAGGTGGGTCGGATCGTTCGGGGCGAGCACACCTCCCAGAACTGGAGCCCAAGTCCTGGGCGGGAATCTCACGGCCCCAGCTGTAGCCCCCGTGGATAATCGTTCAGCATTGCATGCGCCAAAAATTAAGTGAAACGTGTTTTAGTCGCTCAAAATCAGGGCACAGAGAAAAAAGTAACTTAACTTTTGATCGTAGCCTGTGATGTTCATAAAATGTTCGCTATGATCTCTATGGTCTTAGAATTTACAAGTATAATTGTTTTGGTTTTTTGATTAACAATTAACAATCTTCAATTTTTCATTTCATTTATAAATTTTAAAATCGTTCTACTATACAAGGGCAGGTTAAAACGGAACAAGCATTATTTGTAATAATTATAATTTATCCATTTGGCTTACATTGTGTTCTCTTTTTTTTTTAATTACCCTATTCTGTCTTGGGAACATTACCATTTTTTGATTAAAAAAGAAACAATGTTTAAATGTATTAAATATAAATAATAAGTAAGTTATTTAAACCACAAATCTTTAAGCAGTTTCAAAATGATCTTGAGATACCCCAGGGTAGTGACTTCTTTTCGGCCAGATTCAATTTGAATTCGACTTGATTTTCTATTGTAACATGATCGAAAAGGGTTTCTTAAGCATTGGTAGATCAACAACTAAGATGAATATTTTGAACCGATAAATACTTCTTTCAGTGTGAAAGAGTCTGGATTTGCTTTCCGTCGATGTCCGTCCACTGTCCATTGTCCGCCGCAGACGGGCTTTGATTTGTTTAGACGCTCGTTTCATGTTTTGTTTGCGCAACCAATTAAAACTTTGTATTTTTTCCATGGGGTCTGTTTGCCGTCAGAAACGGGTTTGCCGATCCAACACTCTTTTTTTTTTAGGTAAAATTTTCAGCTGAATTTCGAGTTGTAAACATTTGACTCTGTGCGTCAATTTGTGTATGTGGCCAAAATACAAGTTGGCCCGGGGCGGAGTTGCTGGCTTTTTGGGGCGGTGCGTAACCGCACTTGGCAAACGAGATTGGGCATCAAAATTAGAGCGAAGCGGGATTGAGTGTCTCTTTGATACGGGATATCGTAGTCAGGGATAACTGTGTCGGTTAAATCTAATTAAATTCCTCCTTTTCTAAGCTTTTTTTCATGTAGTTTATTCAATTTTGTATTTTAAAAATTTTGTTTGAATTTACAGCTCAAATTGTATTCTGATAATTTGTGGGTGATCTTAATAACGTTTTATAAGAGGCAACAAATATCTAAAAATATATATTTTAATTGACCATTCATAATAGCCTTAATTCAAGTGCTAATTTTAAGGAATAGAATAAAAGGCGAAGAACTGTTTGCTAGGCTGCAGTATAACCCGATTCATTGAAAGTTTGCTGGGTTGTTTCAAATTCGTAGATTATGAGCAACAATGCGGCAACTATTTATAGCTTTTCCGTGATTTTTGAAGATCACGCGCCTCTTGCAGTCGCCGACTGAGTTTTAGAGTGGATCCCATCTCGGGCTCGCATTTTAGTCGGTTCCAAGTCATCACCGCGTGTCAATGGACCTACCGACTTTATCGGGGGGCTGGGAACGGAACGGAAGGGTCGAAAAGTTGGGCCGAAAGACAAACAGCTAGCGGGCATCGATGGCCATTAGTTTAAGGTCTGCCACGGCAAACCGTCGGGGGTAAATGAGAAAAATCAACAGACCAAGGGAACTCAATAAAATAGACGATGGCAGATGAAAATGGAGGGGAGGCCAGAGAGTTGGCTAATGTAGGAATGTATCTGACGGATGGAGATGGTCAAGTGACGGATGTCTGGCTACCTATGACATACCATAGTCATTCATTAAAGGTGCCGCTGGTTTTCATTAAGCATTCGTGCGGAGGAGTACGCGGAAATGCAGGACAACCCTCCGCGATCCTGCGATTCTACGATTACGATCCTTAACCCTTTCGAGGACGAGAGCGTCCTTGCCCTAAATATTCACCGCACGGCATTGTAGCCGCTTTATGGCCAATCCTTTCTGCTTGTGTGTTTGCAAACAATTCGATTTTATGGCCGCCTAAGCGAATTTCCCCGCCTCAATTAGGCTGAGGTTGTAAACTCATAAAGCAAACACGCGAGAGTGCGAACGCAGAGCAGGCAGCCGGCAAAAAAAAGGAGGAAAAAGGAAGAAAACGGGGCTGGCATGCCGTTTGCACAGGATACGCGCAAATACGCATGTCCTTTTTGGACGCAATTAGCCGACGGGAAAATCCCAGTCCATTCCGATACGATGCGATATCGATCCCAGAGCACAAACCCAGCGATCGAGTTCGTGTCCGAAGTCTTTCGTTCGCCATTCTTGGCTTTCCGCCCATGGGATCGCCCCTTTCGAGTCTGTTTGCTCGAACCCAGTACCAGTCCCAGTCCCTATCCCAAAAACAATCCCAAACCCAGACCCAAACCCGAAACCCAGACTCATTTACATATTGCTCGTTTTCTGCTGTTTTCGCTGCGCTTAAGTATGTTTGCCCGGTCCGATCTCACCGTGTTTGCTTTGGGCCATCTTTTACCATATCGAACATCTCGACCTGTTTGCCGCTTGTCTACTTCTGGCTCTGCGGTGCCGCTGCAGGATTTTCGTGGAAATTTTTAGCTTTAACGAGCTATAAACTTGAAAATGGCGTGAGTTGGTAAACAATGGAAGGCTGAACCAAGTTAGTAAAAGCTTAACTTAGCTTTGAAAATAAACTGCTTCAATTAGTTTCTTAATTTTACAAGTTTTTTGAGCTACTTTGTGTAAAAGGTACTTGTGATATGGAATATTTTGTTGTAGTGTAAACGTAAACTAATACATTATCGTGGCTGTCTGAATCAAGCACATTTTCATAAAACATACGGAAAAATATAACACCTTGTTTTTTGTCGTTTCATTCATGATTTTTTTACCACAATAATTTATACTATTTCGTGGCATCTTCTACATGTATTTAGTTGAACCGAACTGTAATGTGACTGCAAGTTGTAGAATTGCTACATTTTATTAAAAACTTTGTTTTTTAATATATTAAAATATATTACATATATATATGTATAATAAGCAAAGCAGACTTTACATTTTCCCTTACCAAGGAACTTTGGTGTGCAATATCAAAAACTTCACTTCACTTTCGAGGAATAAAATATTTTCTATTGATTGAGAGAGTTTCTTTAAAGCCAATCTAAGAAATACATCTGCGATAGTCTAATCGTCATTGTGTTTTCCATCCCAACTCGAATACACCTAGAATATACAGCGCAAAACTAGATCTAGTCGGGCAGAAAGACCAGGAACTCCACGGAAAATGAATCGGCTGTTTGTCAAAAGGGTTGTCTGCCCTATCACAAAAACCCTCCTCTGTTCCAGGGTGAGTCGCCTGTTTGGAGGGACCTGCGTGAGGGATTCCAGTTGCAAGGACGAGTATTCCCTAACAGATCACAAGTACGATGCGATTGTGATTGGAGCTGGTGGAGCGGGAATGCGGGCTGGATTTGGGCTGGCGGAGAAGGGCTTCAAGACGGCCTTGATATCGAAGCTCTTTCCCACCCGATCGCACACGGTGGCCGCCCAGGGCGGAGTGAATGCGGCCCTCTCGAACATGGATAAGGACGACTGGAAGTACCATTTCTACGACACGGTCAAGGGCAGCGATTGGCTGGGCGACCAGAACGCGATCCACTACATGTGCCGGGAGGCGGAGAAGGCAGTGCTCGAGTTGGATACGTACGGGATGCCCTTCTCTCGGACACAGGACGGCAAGATCTACCAGCGACCCTTTGGGGGTCAGACCCTGGAGTACGGCAAGGGCGGTGTGGCCAAGAGGGCGTGCGCATGCGCAGATCGCACGGGCCATGCCCTCATCCATACTCTCTATGGACAGACCCTGAAATACGCCGAATACTGCCACTACTTCATAGACTACTTCGTCCTGGACTTGATCATGTCCCATGGCAAATGTGTGGGATGCCTGGCCTGGAAACTGGATGATGGCACCTTCCATCGCTTTTTGGCCAAGAACACGGTGGTGGCCGCCGGCGGTTGTGGTCGAGTTTACTTCTCCACCACCGCTGGACACACATGCACTGGCGATGGCAATGCCTGGGTGTCCCGCCAAGAGCTGCCCCTCATGGACATGGAGTTCGTGCAATTCCATCCCACTGGCATCTATGGAGCAGGGTGCCTGATCACCGAGGGTGTTCGGGGAGAGGGTGGCTTCTTTTTGAACTCCAAGGGAGAACGCTTCATGGAGCGCTATGCCCCGAAGGCCAAGGATCTGGCCTCCAGGGATGTGGTGGCGAGGGCCATGACCATGGAGGTCCTGGCCGGCAATGGTTGCGGTCCCCTTAAGGATCATGTGCATCTACAGCTCCATCACATCGACGCGAAGATCATCAGGCAGCGATTGCCGGGTATTTTGGTCACTGCCAAAATCTTTGCCAAGGTGGATGTTACTAAGGAACCGGTGCCGGTTCTACCAACTGTCCACTACAACATGGGAGGGATACCAACGGATCACAGGGGACGGGTGATCACTGTGGATGAGGATGGCAAGGAGCAAGTGGTCCAGGGGCTGTACTCCTGCGGGGAGACATCCTGCGCCTCGGTACACGGCGCCAATCGGTTGGGTGCCAACTCCTTGCTGGATTTGATCATTTTCGGACGGGTCTGTGCCCTTGACATCGCCGAGAACAGCTGTCCGGGAGATAAGCTGCCCGAGGTGGAGGACAAGGCCACGGAGAAGTCGCTGGAGAACTTCAAGTGCCTGCGCAGCGCCAAAGGATGCACTCCGACGGCCGAGCTGAGAATGGAACTGCAGAGGACCATGACCAAACATGCGGCAGTCTTCCGGGATGGGAAACTACTCAAGGAGGGTCTCCTTAAGGTGGCCGAGCTATGTGAGCAGTTCAAGGACGTTAAGGTCACCGATCGCACTCTGGTGTGGAACACAGACTTAGTCGAGACCTTGGAGCTCCAGAATATGCTGGCCAATGCGGTGCACATCATTACGGCCATGGAGAATCGCAAGGAGTCGAGGGGATCCCATGCTCGCGAGGATTTCAAGAAGCGCGTGGATGAACTGGACTATGGAGCACCCATGGCCGGGCAGAAAAAGAAGCCAATGGACGAGCACTGGCGTAAGCACACCATGACCTTTGCCCTGGGCAACAAGGGTTGTGCCTCGATCAAATATCGTCCGGTGGTGGACACTACTTTGGACGACTCGGTGGCCTCCATTCCTCCAGCTCCGCGTGTATACTGATTACGGGAGTCAGTACCAGGTTTATTTTATCTCTAAGAACATGATCTTAATATTAATGTAAACAATGAAGGGACTATCCCGAATGTATACATGTCTGTCCTTAATAAAGTAATATATCTGTAGCGGGGGTAACACAGAAATCTCTCAGCCTCTCTCAGATTTCTGTGTCACCCCCGTTTGTGATATTCCACGTGTTGCAAATTATATTAAAACACTAAAATAGTAGTAGTTCGCAACTATGTAAAATTTGAAAAATATTTATCTTACATATACACTTTAAAAATCTGAATCAATTACTATAGTTAAAAGATATATATTTTATTTTATTAAGTTTAATAAATGTTTGATATTTGTATAATTTTCAGTTGTCTAATTGATATAGGGAGTTAACTGGTAGTGCATTATTTTTGATTGATAATATTTGGAAATAATTTTCATGATTAAAGGCCTCAAGACATATATGGTTATAATGACAATATCCAGTGCACTGATAAACAACAAACCAAGGACAATTTTGGCCAGCAAAATGTTTTGACCAAAAAGTCCAGAACGCAGTAAAGTGAAAGCAAAAACGGAAAAATTTGTATATATGGAAGTTGGGTGTCTCCAAAACGGCATTGTGGGAATATCCACCCATTCACGCAGATGCAGGAGATCGCGAAAGGATATCACGTCCTGTTTAGTATTCAATTTACGAAAGTCCCCATCCATCACATGATATATGGTCTCATCGGTAAAGGCGGAGAATCGTTTTTTCATCGTCGAAAGCTTGGAGAGATCGCAAACGGCCAGTCCAACATCGAGGCAACCCATGGAGGTGGTCGCCAAATTATATAAGCTCCATTTCAGATCCTTGCACTTCGGCTCCTGTTGCGAACAGATAATCACCAGCCACTCGCCGGTTAGCACCTCCATCCAGTTAATCTCATCGATCATGGTAATTGACCCGTACCGGGGACAGAGTCCTGTAGTAATGGAGTCATCGGTTTCGTGAAACGGGATCATTGACCCAGAGGCCAGTAGAAGCAGGAGAAACTTCGAAGTCATTATGTAAACTCAAAGGAATTTTCAATTTTTCCACTAAAAAACTTTCTGTTTTGTGCGTTATCGTAGTGACAGTAATGTAAAAGTATGGATAGGTATCTGATATAGACAAGATTAAAAGTCTACTAAGTCATTCCTAATGGAGAATATGATTACTAATGAATTTTAAATCAGCTGCGCCTAGATTCAGGGCTAAAAACAAGTACGTTTTATTTTTGAATGTAAGTACTGTGATGTGATATTAAAATGTTACAGGGTGACCATATCACAAAGTGACCACAAACAAGGTGACCATACCAAGGAGACAACTCTGCCTTAAAATGATTCAACGGTCTCAGGGTAGTAGAACTCCTTAAATTTCCGCCAATTAAAATTGAATGGAACTGTTGATAAAATCCCGACCAAATAAACACCACAATGGGTTATTTTTTTCTTTAAAATGACACCAGTTGAGCGAGCAGTACAGTTGCCACCGCAGAGCACTAACAGGTCATTAGCATCAGATTCAGATAGACATCAGTGTAACTCGATTGCTGGTGCTGTTCTAGTGCGACTGTTGCCGATGTCTGAGTGTAAATAATTGCCCGCAACAGGAATAAGTTGTAGGTTATGCGAGGAATGCTGAAAGCAGGATCCAATGGGTGGACCTCCCCTAATGACCACAATAAATTATTTTCATTTAGGGGCATTTAGCATAGAGAAAAAGCCGTGTGCCTGGTAAAGAAATAATTTATAGCTGTTGAAAACTTAACATGTTCATTTGGCCACATGTGTGTGCGCGGCGCGGGGAGTGGGTAAAGTGGAAAAGTGGGAAATTGTTGGGGTGTGTGGGTCCAATAATAATGGCGCTTGTTAAGGCTTATGAGTAAATGTTGGTGTGTGCGTGTGTGGGACAGCAAATGAAAGGCCAACCGAACAGGGCCACACGAATACTTTGCCAGGACACATCCAGCCACCCAAACCATCCAAACCCCCTTCAACCCTCTCCCAGAACACCAAGGACATGCCCCAACTATTTGGTATGTATTTCGTGTGCCAGTGTGGATACAATTGTTGCTGTTTCATATGGTTTTGCTGCTGGGCGGCTGCCACCGACAGAAAAATTACAGTTGCATACACATTTGCCTCTGTTAAATTGTCCCACAACCAATACAAAGTGACCTTTTCATTTATTTTTATGATGGCCCCTCCCCTTCGAGCCATTTCCCATTTACCCGCCCAGTCGCCCATTCTTGGCCATAAAAAATAGTTCGCTCGATTCAACTTTCCTGCGGCAACAAATGTTGGTAACTACGACCCAAAGAGGATTTCTGGTAGCTGGATAAAATGTTTTTTTGAATTTGTTTATTTCAGACTGGGCCTAATGGAAGGGAAATCTGTTTGCCCATTTAATATTATATCTGTGCCTGATGAAGGATTTTTCGTTCATGATGCTTACTCTGCATGCCATATTCATCATTTACCTTCTACATTGGAAATTACCATATTTTCCCTACCATAATTGGCTTCTTAAAGTAGTATTATAAGTATTTATTCGCGTGGGTGCAAAACTTAAAACTGTCCTCACAACTTTGTTGATATCTATTCAACGCAAAACTTTCTTTTTTGCTGCTTATAGTATTAGGGGAAAGTTTGTGGTACTTCGTTAAAGTTCTAGTTTCAAATAGTTCAGCTGGAGCCCTCTATTAAATCATAATGTGAACTTAAACGCATTAAAGAAGAAGGGCATTTTAGATCTCTATTTAAAAAAGTATTCAGTTTGTATTTAATCAATATTAAAACCAACTTTTGCTTTCATGGAAACTAACTTTTGAGTGCAATAAATAGATGAAACTTTTTGGGGCATGTGGGTTTTTGATAAGAATTTTATTTCTTTTGTTGCTTGCTTTCTTTATCAAAATATTTATGTGCCCCATTTAAAATCGGTCAGTACACTGAACTATATTTATTAATTTCTAATTTGATATTATTTAATCCGTTTTAAAGCGACGGCTAGGGGCAATCTATCTTGTGGCTCTCCAATGTCTTTAATTTGCCGTTTGGCTCTTTAGATTCCCCTTTTGGCTTATACTCGCTGCAGAGGATGATAGCAAGTTTGTCGAAACTCTCAAAGTTGATTCTGCACTTCATCGGAAAACAAAACAAAATGTTTCTGTTTAAGCTTTTTCCCAGTCACTTCAGCTTGTGAACGAGTACAGTGCACTTGCCCCGCAGGAAGATGGAGTACGAAAATTGAATGTGCTATACAAGGCACTGAGAAAAATTAAAAATAGCTTAAGTGTGATGAAAAATCCTTAATTGGGTTAAATTTTGGGATGAAAATTGAAGGTTTTTAGACTTGTGGCCTTATGACTCTGTAATATTTTTGACTAATTTTCTGGATTTATTTTAAGAAGTCATAAAAACCTATGTATGTAACATGTTATTTTGTATTTCAAATTTAAATTCTTAAAAGGTTGCCTACCATGACTTTTTAATAACTCCAGTAAGTTTATTACAATTTATGAAAAAACAAAATGTTATTAAATGCAAAATTATTCCTTTTTTTCCTTGGTAAACCTTTATTTATATTATTTTCCTTTATGGAAGTCACACTTTTATGAATTGAATTTAAACACCCTCTTTTCCGAGTGTTCTGCACTGCGCTCTAGCTCGTTATCGGGTTTGGCGTTTGAAGGATTTGCCAGGGACATGAGTAGTGGAATATATCTGTTTCGTGGTCCCAGGCGTTCGAGTGGGCCATCATTTATATGTTGCCTTTCGTGCCTTTGACTCAATCATTTGCTCGTTTGGAGGCAGCAGGAGCTCCATAATTTCCATTAGAACTGCCCCGGGAGAAAACCGAGTCAAAGGCGGCCAACAGTCCGAAATTCCTACGATTTCGACCAGTTTGCCCACTTTGGCAGCCAACTATTTTGGACATGCCAAACTGCATTTCGGCCCGATCTGTTCTCTTGTTTTGGTTTGGCTCGATTTTATTTTGGCTAATGGTTTCTGTTCCTGGGTTTTGTTTTGGTTTTGGGCTAAATGTGTGTTTTCCTACACACAAACACGCGCCCACAAACTTTCGGCCGCATAAATTTGATTTATTAATAAATTATACTCTCTCTACACAAAAATAACATATATTTCCATTTTCCATTTATTTACTTGCAGGTAAGTTCCGGCCGGGAGAATGCAATAAACTGGTGCACTAAAAATGTCCGGAAAATAGAATTTCCATCGTGTATCTGGGTACTTACATTGGTTTTTCGGTAAATTGATGGTACAATCTAAAACGATTTGAGTGCCTGTTTGTGAAACCAACAAATGGTATATGGTATTAATTTTTTAATCCAGCCCAGAAGCATGATGTCGAAAAATATTGTTACTTTTATAAGCCGCATGCAGAAAAGTATGCAACTGAAATTGAGTGTAGCCAATGTGCGTTTGCAAGGTGACGCAGTTGTGACGTCAACGACTTTGTAAGTAAAATTTGTAGTACTAGCATTTATTAGATATGTTTGAATGTAGAATATTAGTGAATTTAACCACAAATTCATAGAGGTATCACACGTCTAAATCGGGATACGATACCTCAAGTTATGGAATCTAGAAGTGCTGTTTTGGGTTCCCATTCTGACCCCACTGGAAATTAAGAAAATATCGAACATGAAAATGGGTTACAATTTTGACTATCGCTTATAAGAAATATTTGAGTGTAGAATATTAGAGAATTCAACCACAAATTCATAGAGGCATCACACGTCTAAATCGGGTTCCGATAACTCAAGTTATGGATTCTGAAAGCCATTGGAATTACGGAAAAACCGAACATGAAAATGGGCTGAAATTTGGACCCTCCGTAAAAAGATAGATTTAAATGTAGAATATTAGAGAATTCAACCACAAATTCATTAAGGTATCACACGTCTAAATCGGTATCCGGTAACTCAAGTTATGGAATCTGGAAGTGCAGTTTTGGGTTCCGATTCTGAAAGCCATTGGAATTACGGAAAAACCGAACATGAAAATGGGCTAAAATTTGGACCCTCCGTAAAAAGATATATTTAAATGTGGAATATTAGAGAATTCAACCACAAACTCAAAGAGGTATCCCACGTCTAAATCGGGATACGATAACTCAAGTTATGGAATCTAGAAGTGCTGTTTTGGGTTCCCATTCTGACCCCACTGGATATTAAGAAAATATCGAACATGAAAATGGGTTGCAATTTTGACTATCGCTTATAAGAAATATTTGAGTGTAGAATATTAGAGAATTCAACAACAAATTCATAGAGGTATCCCACGTCTAAATCGGGATCCTACAACTCAAGTTATGGAATCTAGAAGTGCAGTTTTGGGTTCCGATTCTGAAAGCCATTGGAATTACGGAAAAACCGAACATGAAAATGGGCTAAAATTTGGCCCCTCTGTAAAAAGATAGATTTAAATGTAGAATATTAGAGGATTTAACCACAAACTCATAGAGGTATCCCACGTCTAAATCGGGATCCTACAACTCAAGTTATGGAATCTGGAAGTGCAGTTTTGGGTTCCGATTCTGAAAGCCATTGGAATTACGGAAAAACCGAACATGAAAATGGGCTAAAATTTGGACCCTCCGTAAAAAGATATATTTAAATGTGGAATATTAGAGAATTCAACCACAAATTCATAGAGGTATCCCACGTGTAAATCGGGATCCTACAACTCAAGTTATGGAATCTGGAAGTGCAGCTTTGGGTTCCGATTCTGAAAGCCATTGGAATTACGGAAAAACCGAACATGAAAATGGGCTAAAATTTGGACCCTCCGTAAAAAGATATATTTAAATGTGGAATATTAGAGAATTCAACCACAAATTCATAGAGGTATCCCACGTGTAAATCGGGATCCTACAACTCAAGTTATGGAATCTGGAAGTGCAGCTTTGGGTTCCGATTCTGAAAGCCATTGGAATTACGGAAAAACCGAACATGAAAATGGGCTAAAATTTGGCCCCTCTGTAAAAAGATAGATTTAAATGTAGAATATTAGAGGATTTAACCACAAACTCATAGAGGTATCCCACGTCTAAATCGGGATCCTACAACTCAAGTTATGGAATCTGGAAGTGCAGTTTTGGGTTCCGATTCTGAA